TTTAATATGAGTTATACACGAAGTCAATTTGATGTAGTCACAGGCCAAAGTGGCTAACTCGCCACTCTCGACTCAATCTAGGCTTCAATTTTGAAAAATCGAAAAAAAAGATATTTAAGAATTTTTTTTTGATTTTGATATTTCCTTACTTTTTTAAACGTTTTGTGGATATTTTGACCAAATGTTAATAAAATTGATAGACGAAATCAATTTGATGTAGTCACAGGCCAAATTCCCTAATTCGCCACTCTCGACTCAACCCATGGTTCAATTTCGAAAAATCGAAAAAAAAGATATTTAAGAATTTTTTTAGATTTTGATATTTCCTTAGTTTTTTAAATGTTTTGTGGATATTTTGACCAAATTTTAATAAGATTGACATACGATTTCAAGTTGATGTATTCACAGGCCAAAGTCGCTAACTCTCCACTCACGACCCAACCGAGGCTTCAATTTCGAAAAATCGAAAACAAAGACATTTTTTAGATTTTGATATTTCCTTAGATTTTTAAAGGTTTTTTGGATATTTTGACCAAATTTTAACTAGATTCATACACGAAATCTATTTTTTGGGATTTTTTCGATTTATTTGAAAACTCCGTGTCCCACGAGCCTAATTCCTTTTCCAATCGACTCAGCAGGTCGATTTACATCGAGAAGGTTAATAAAAATTTTTCGAATTTTTTGGGATTTTCTCGAAAACTACGGGTCCTACGAGCCTATTCCTTTTCCTATTGACTCAGCAAGTCGGTTTGCATTGAATGATTCAATAAAAATGTTTTTATTTGTATTTATTTTTTTTGCGTTTTTCTCGGAAACTGCGTGTCATTCGATCCTAATTCCTTTTCCAGTCGACTCAGCAGGTCGATTTAAATCGCAAAATTCAATAAAAAAATTTCCGTATTTTTCGGGTTTTACTCTGAACCTACTTGTCCTACGAGCCTAATTCCTTGTCCAATCGATTCAGCAGGTCGATTTACATCGAAAATTTCAATTAATTTTTTCCAATTTTTTGGGATTTTTTTCGATTTATTTGAAAACTCCGTGTCCTACGAGCCTAATTCCTTTTCCAATCGACTCAGCAGGTCGATTTACATCGAAAAAGTTGATAAAAAATTTTTCGAATTTTTTGGGTTTTTCTCGAAAACTCCGTATCATGAGCCTTAATTCCTTTTCCAGTCGACTCAGCAGGTCGATTTAAATCGAAAAATTCAATTAAAAATTTTCTGAATTTTTCGTGTTTTTCTCGGAACCTACGTGTCCTACGAGCCTAATTCCTTTTCCTATCGACTCAGCAGGTCGATTTCCATCGAAAGAATCAATAAAAATGTTTTTATTTTTTGCGTTTTTCTCGAAAACTGCGTGTCATACGAGCCTAATTCCTTTTCCAATCGACTCAGCAGGTCGATTTAAATCGAAAAATTCAATAAAAAATTTTCCGAATTTTTCGGGATTTTCTCTAAACCTACTTGTCCTATGAGCCTAATTCCTTTTCCTATCGACTCAGCAGGTCGATTTGCATCGAAAAAGTCAATAAATTTTTTTTTTCGATTTTTTGGAAAACTCCGTGTCATATGAGAGTACTATAAGGGATACCACCAGCACCCCCCACCACTTTCCTTCCCATGGTGTCCCACGGTGTTTTTCCGCCCAAATTTAAAATCGTGCGATCTGATTGGTTCTGTTATACCGCTAGCACCCTCCACCACTTTCCTTCTCAAGGTGTCCCACGTTGTTTTTCCGCCTAAATTTAAAAACATGGGATCTGATTTGTTCTGTTTTGCCGCCGGCATTTAAATCACCGGGTCTTGTGGTGTCCCCAAGGAAGCCCCCCGCCTTCTTCCGCTTGCCGCGATAATTCGAACCGGGTAATCTCAAGGTGTCTCGTACCGCTCGTCTGCTTTTTAAAAGTAAACAAATTCGGGGCACTTACGATTTGTTGTTGTTTCTTTACCCATTCCTTCGGCGAAACGCTTCGGTAGAAATACCTTCGGTGGATGGTTTTCGCTGTATAGCCTACTTGGGCCATGATGACCTTCATGAGTTACTACGCAATCGCCAAATTTCGTCTTAACAATTTCAAATTTTGTGATGATGTTACTATGCCTATCTGTAAATCGATAAATTTCCCCGTTTCAGATTTGTTGATCTGATTGAGGAGAGCTGTCAAAGACATCTAAATGAAAAGTTTAACATTGATCATATATCTATAGGGGGAGATTACTTAATTAACCAACTGAAGCATAACGGATTACCTTATAAGTTTATATGATTGTAAGTCCTTCCTTTCTTTTCGACGGATGTTTGTTGACTACTAGTGCGCAATGACAAAGAGGACCGTAGTTGAATAAAACAAGGAGGGGGGGGAGTATTTAGTATGATACTGTAAGCATGGGTGTGAGAAATAAAAAGGCCGTATGAATAAATGAAATTAAACAAATTTTATTAATAAAAATATACATAATAATCAAGAAGGCAAGTTTAATGAACAAAAAGTATTTAAAAAAATTCACTCTTCTGTAATTGTAGAGCCATTAACATAAAACTATTCAGACATGCAATTTGTAATCTACACTGCTAATATTTTTGGATAATCAATTGATTAGTCCGAAAACTTTATACCGTGCACACTGTACTGGTTTTCTTCTGTAGTAGAAACACTGAATACCCTCCTTTGAAGATAGACTTCTTATCCTCGGGCAGCCGTAGTTAGAGATCGAATTTTTATAGAAGCTATCGATCGTGGATCGATTTTTCATGTCTTCCAATGGACAGAATTGTCCCTGTTGTTCTAAGGTTACTTTCTGCTAACGGCTGTAACCTTAGCTTTACTATTCACGTTTCGCATGTACACGTGTTGATCCAAACCGTTTTTAATAGCCAAAATGTCTTTTCAACAGAGGTTGTTGAAGAAAAAAATTAAAAAAAGGGAGATGAAAAAACTAAAAATGCTCAAGGCAAGAAAGGAATCTGGTGAGCTGACTTTTCCTCAGTTTGTTTTAATTGTGTGTCGATTATGCCTGACCGTCTTTTCTTTTTAGCTGTTGGTGCACCCGATGAAGACGGAGAAATCGGTATGTTCAATACAAATACTTTTATTTAAATTTTATGTTGTTATTTATCGTTTTATTGTCAGGTATCAATCATGTGGACAATACACAATGTGAGGAAGCTGCAGTAAAAACTAAACCAGTTAATAATAATGCTGAAGTTCAGAAATTGGGTAAGTGAATTTTATAATGTATTCATTCTTCTAATTATTTTCTCTATTGCATTTGTGAATTTGTTTTGGAATTGAGAGAGAAAAAATACGTTATTCTGGGATTAGAGTCCCCTAAAGCTTAGTCCATACTAGGGGAAAGTTGCGCGACTTTGTCGGGAACATCCACAATTCAATGTTGCGCGTCTGTTTGGTGGGCTGCCCTGCAACAATAAGTTGTGTCTACTCTACAGAGGCAGTTCCCTAGAAAATGTCTCAGGAGCCTGTCAGGTTTTTCTCTTTCATTGTTATTATTAATTCCATTAGAGTTCGTGGTCCAATTTACAAAATAACTTCTTTCAATTAATTAATTTTTATGTAAGGTATTGGTTGAGATAAAAAAGTAAGTGTCACAAGTGGGATTCGAACCCATGACCTTCGGCTAAATACGCCGCTGCTCTACCACTTGAGCTATCATGACTTCAATCCACTTGGACACCAAATTCCCATCTCAATCCACCTTTCGAATTTTCTTTAGTTATTTTCATTGAATGCCTTATTTGATTGTTAGGAAAGAAAAATAAAAAGAGAAAACAAAAACTAAAGGAAGAGCAACCACAAATGGAGAATGAAGAACAGGAAAAGGAAGAAAAAGAAAATGCAGATGATTGCATAGATGAGGATGAAATGGTTAACGAAGATATTGGAGAGAAATGTAAAAGTTTTATTCAAGTTATAAATAGTGAAAAACTATATTACTAGAAAATATTATTAATGTGTGGAAATAAATTGCAGTGCCTGGTAGTAGTTTAGGTTTGGAAATACAAAGTGGTGCTTTATTCTCTTCTCTTGCTGATAAAGTTTCCGAAGCGACACTCAAAGCTATTGCCGACATGGGATTTTCCAAAATGACAGAAATTCAGGCCAAGTCTATTCCACCACTTTTGGAGGGTAGAGATCTGGTCGGTGCTGCTAAAACTGGCTCGGGTAAAACATTGGCTTTTCTTATTCCGGCGGTCGAGCTCATTGTCAAATTAAGATTTATGCCTAGGAATGGTAAGTCATTGTTTTGTTTTAATTATTTTTGTGTAATTGCTTTAATTTGTCAGGCACTGGTTGTATTATTTTGTCACCGACGAGGGAATTGTCTATGCAAACTTTTGGAGTGCTTCAAGAGGTAATGAAGTACCAACACCATACATATGGCCTTATCATGGGAGGAGCATGTAGGGAAGTGGAAACAAAAAAGTTGACAAATGGTGAATTTAAATATACACATACTTATATGCATATATACATTCTTAAATTTTTGTTATAAGGAATAAACATATTGGTAGCAACACCTGGACGTTTGCTCGATCATTTACAAAACACACCTGGCTTCTTATATAAGAACCTTCAGTGTCTTGTCATTGATGAAGCGGATCGAATTCTCGAAATTGGATTTGAAGAAGAAGTGAAACAAATTATTAACCTTTTGCCTAGTACGTTTTTCCATTTTTTAAATCATAAGCTTTACTGATTATTAATAAATTTTGTAGAACGAAGACAGACCATGTTGTTTAGTGCGACTACCACGAGGAAAACTGAAGACCTAACAAGGCTTGCTGTGAAAAAAGAGCCTGTTTACGTTGGAGTTCATGACACATTCGACAAAGCGACTGTGGAAGGCCTTGAACAAGGTAATTGTGACAAAATTGCATTTAAAATTTTCATTCAGTACAGTGATTATTTTTTCAAATTTTAGGTTATGTGATCTGCCCTTCAGAGAAGAGATTCCTTCTCCTTTTTACTTTCCTTAAGAAGAATCGCAAGAAGAAAGTCATGGTTTTCTTTTCATCTTGCATGTCTGTCAAATTTCATGATGAGCTTTTTAATTATATCGATCTTCCAGTGATGAGTATACATGTAAGTTCAGATTACTTAATGTTAATGAATAAATAATTATTCATACATTATGTCACATGTAGTATTTATTTGGAATATTAATTTTCACTATTTATTTTCAGGGAAAACAACAGCAAACCAAGCGTACATCAACATTCTTTCAATTCTGCAATGCAGAAACCGGTATACTTTTGTGTACAGACGTAGCAGCTCGAGGACTCGATATTCCTGCCGTTGATTGGATTGTGCAATATGATCCACCAGATGATCCTAAGGTTCACATCAAGCACAGGATCAACACTTATGCTATGCATTAACTGTAAATATTTTATAGGAATACATTCATAGAGTAGGCCGTACAGCTAGAGGTGAAGGCGGGAAAGGAAATGCTCTCCTCATGCTCCGGCCAGAGGAACTAGGATTTCTCAAGTACCTCAAGCAAGCTAAAGTCCCATTGAATGAGTTTGACTTTTCATGGAACAAAGTATCAGACATACAGGCACAGGTAAACTATAGGTAATTTGTTCGTTTTGATGTTGGCTAATGGATAATATGATTTTTAGCTTGAAAAATTGATCCAAACAAACTACTTTTTGAATCTATCCGCTAAAGAAGGTTTCAAAGCGTACGTGCGATCATACGACTCTCATCACCTAAAAACAATTTTTGATATAGAGACATTGGATTTGATGAGTGTTGCCAAATCCTTTGGATTCACAGTACCACCTGCAGTTGACCTCAGTATCCTTTTTATTAGAAATACAATTCAGCCTATAATCATTTTGATTTGAAGGTGATAGTTTTTATCAAAAAGAAAACGTCAGGATTGTTTATGCAGGTTTCATCATTATTTGATATTGTTTATTATGAAAGTTCAACATAGAAAAATCTAATAAATTAGGTAAGTTCTACAAAAACCATTTTTTAAAAATAAAAGTTCTATAGATCCAAACATAAATATTATATTAACGTTATTATAAAGTTTTGAAGACCAAATTCTTTGGTCCCCTTCTGTATTAAGGTGGCCATTCACGATCACGCCAAATAGAACCGCGCCAAGCCGTACAGCTCCATTTAGAGTGCCTGCAATTTGAGGCGGCATTCACGACCGCTCCACAGCAAGTCGCTCTGAATGTCAACCAGTGAATTACCTTCTCAAAATGCATGATCTCTTGTGCTACTCTTCTGTTTATTTATATATTAAAAGCAAAAAATGGAAGAGGAAATGGTGTAAGAAGTGGCTCCTGAACAGAAGCCGTAATACCCACATCAATTTGATGAAAGATCTTTCCCTTGAACCCGTGATTGGAGGAACTATTTAAGGATGGATGAAACGTCTTATTTATTCATTATATTTAGTGTTCTATTGAACAAATTACTTCTTTCAATTAATTAATCTTTTTTGTAAGGTTTTGGTTGAAATGAAAAAGCTAGTGTCACGAGCGGGATCTGAATCCATGGCCTTCGGATAAATACGCTGCTGCTCTATCACTTGAGCTATCGTGACTTCGATCCTCTCCGACACCAAAAAATGGCAAAAAGAGAGAAAATTGGAAAGGTGGTAGGTTGAGATGAGGAGTTGGTGTCCGAGTGGATCGAACTATCGAAATCACAATAGCTCAAGTGGTTAGCGCAGCGGTTATTTAGCCGAATGTCGTGGATTCGAATCCCCTCGTGACACTATTTTTTCATTTCAACCAAAACCTTACAAAAAAAAGATTAACATCTTATTTATATTTACTCCAGCTTGTTACCCCCATGATTAAAAAACAAAAGACAGTCATGAGAGAAATCATCACTACATGAAAGGTTGGCAACCACATTACGATTTCTCGCTACAGGGATGAACTACAAAGAACTTAAGTTCTCTACTACGATTTCTGATCATTGTTAGGGGTTATCTCTCACTGCATTTGTATCCTTTGTTTTGAAAACGTCGACCAACTGGTTGAGGATCGAATTTCTTTTATTTCTATGGTGGTAATATAATCATTGTCCACCACTTTCATAAACATGGTAAAATTCAATCACCTCAACAATAAAATCTTGATTGGATGTCATTACCAATAAAGAATAAACGTTTTTGACTTTTTGAGAATGTACGACGGAGATGTTTGCTCAGTGACAGAAAGACGGAGACTGCGCCAAAAAAACGAGTGTTTTCCCATTCACGACCAGGCCAGCGCGCCAAAATCCCCACCCTCCATGCCAGGTTTTCCCATTCACAAACACGCCATGCCGTCGTCGCGCCGTAGATATTTGGAGTGGCGCGATGGAATTTGGACCAGTCGAATATTCGGCACAGCCGGGCACGCCAGTTCAGTTTTGCCATTGACGTGGTTTTTGGAACGGCGTCGCTCCGTTTGGACTGTTAGGAGCGATCGTGAATGGCCACCTTTAAATATTATTTGTAAATTTTTAAAGTTGATATTGAGGGGGAGGCTGGTGAATGCCTCAAAATGAATTTAATGTAAAATTGTTAAGTTGGTTCTGTTAACTAAAACTTAATATCTCCTGTTCTATCTGTATATATAAAACAGTTTGTGACTAATTGTCAGACAATGCACATACTAAACCGTTGGATCTAAACAGCTGAAATTTTGACAGTGTGTTCCTATGACATGGATAGCCGCTAAGAACAGATTTTTTGAAATTCTATCCCTAAGGGGGGGATCATAAGGACAACTTTTACCACCATGTATATACAGAAGTGAACTAAACAATAGAAGAATTTGAGAATCTAGACCTTATATTAGAAAGCCATACTAGCACTCTGCACATCACATTAGAAAGGTACATTAAAACAGAGTCCTGTGTGGATGAAGTAGTGGGTAAAAGCTAGTTAACTATAAGCAAAGTAATTATTTCAATTAATTTTTATGCAAAGTGTGGTTCATTAACAACTTCTCGTGTTCTAATTTATATATTACACGATATTTAAATATGGCAAAAAAGGTTGAGATTTATTAGTGTCTTGACTCTCGAAGACAGGAGACACGATATTTCAAGTGGTAGAGCGCCAGGGCACTGATTAGGATGTGGATTATTGTCCCACTTGTGACTTAATTTTTCACACAACCATACTTTGCATAAAAAAATAAATCAATTAAAATTTAAAATAACATTGAAACAGCTTAACAGTATTGCCCAAACCACGTGATAATGTAATGCATATATTTAGACCATCATAATGTTTCAATTTTGAAGGAGATATATTAAGCCAGATGAGATAATATTTAGGAACAGGAAGTAATAAAACGTTAATTAAGTGCCATGTACTGTTTTATAAGTATGTTTTATTAATATTAATGCATCATGGTTTTGTATGATTTTCCTTAACCAATTTCTCAGAAATTAACAGCAAGAAGGGTTCTAGACCGAGAAAGAGGTGTGGAGGAGGAGGATATGGATTTTTAAATACTATAAATAAAACTGACAGGTACAAAAAACCAAAATTCACCCAACCTAGGCCGAGGAATTGAAGCATTTTAAAATAAATTAAAACTTGTACAGCGAAGGTGAATGGAACTATTATAAAAACCTACTCTTTTTTTAAAGTAAAGGACAGTGTAAAATATTGATGGTTATAATTTGAACATATAATACTAACAATATAATTAAATATGTTTTTAAATTACTGGTTTTATTTAATTCTTCTGCCGCAAGGCAAGAAATTTCAGGAGTTGGGCCTTAATGTTTTAAAATACAAGGGCAGATTCACCTATTCATACTGGATTTGTTGACACATGAGGGTGATGTTCTGTCATACTGTCAATTGTATTTTATAGACTCCTCGAAAGCTGTGGATGTGTATTCAAGACGCACAGAAAATAAAACTAGCCCTTGCAGTTTTGACAGCCCTTGATGACATTTTGGGTGAAGCATATGTACTGCAGCTGGAACAATGCAAGACGTTTTAATGGCTATGACACACATAACGGTTTTGACTGAAGTGTTTAACACAGTGGATTTTTTTGCAGCTGACAGACACTACCCTTTCCTACCATCTACCCAATTGTCTTTCTGATTTTCGCCTTTTGTCTGCCATATTGTTTCGCATCTTAAAAAACACATACAGAAGGAAAGAATTCTTCCTTCTTCCCCTTCTTCAAGGGGCATTTGTATTGATGATTAGGGATGGTTAGGGTTACTGATGATTCAAGTCCTGTGTTGCTTGAATCCATTCTTATTTTTTTATGAATTGCTGCTGCTTATGTTTCTACCTGTTTTTAACTGCCTTAAGAAACTTGTACAATGGCTCATTCTGGACTTCTATCGGAATCATTCACAATTAACCAGGGAGTATGACAAGGATTGTAATTAGTCCTCTCCTATTTGCATTGTTTATAAATAACAGAGGAATTAGAAACAGGAGTCCAAATAGTAAATGAAATTATTATAATTGTACATATGCTGATGAACGATTTAGTTATTGATGCTTAATATTCAAAATCATTGCAGAAAAATAATGTCAGGGTGCAGCATTACTATGAGAAGTGGAATCATGAAGTCTTGATAGGACCAAAGTGGTTGTTTTTCTACATGGGGTGGAGGTGGAACTAGAGAGTGCTGGACATACTATATGGACCAATAAGAGAACAAATAGGCTTAGTGAATCGCTACATACACATAATTAGATATAGTGCTAACCTCCAAACTCAGTTTAAAATCCCACTTGCAGGTTAAATCTTCAGCTATACACACTTTAAATGTAGTTTGGAGAAAGATGCTAACGCAGGCTGCAAGTGCAAGTGAAAAGGACGCTTCTGAGGTCAATTATGCATTTTATATCATAAGGACATGCAGACTAAGACTTTCTGAAAGATCAAATTATATATAGAATTAATTGGTGGAATAAATAAAACAAACCATGATCCCAATCATCAATTTTTATTTGGAAATTAATGCATTTATTTTGAATGTATCTTTTTATTTTAAAATCCTTTTTACAACAAATATTTTAAAAGTCGACATGTCAAGGATATAAATTAAGAAGTAGTATTAAGGAAATAGTAACAAAAATGAATTAGACAAAAAATCAGTAAATATTTTCTCTTTTACAAGGTTCAATTGTATAAAAAGAAAAAACATTTATAAAAGGGGAATTTTTTTGACAACTAAGTACCTAAAGCCTAATATTTTCAATATGTCTTATAAATTTACTCATCACCCGATTAGAGCGAAGACAGAGGAAAGACAGTGACCACAATGGTCTAAAATACATTTTTTCCGCTTGTTTTTCGTCTGTCCTCACTAGAAATAATTTTAAACTTAATTCTACCTTTGAATTAATGACCGCTCTTAACGGTTAAAAATATTAAATTAAATGCCTGTTCTTCACCCTTTAGTAGATAATAGTATTAAGAAAAAACCTACTATTTTGTGCACTCTTCGTTTTCCCTGTCATGTTGAAAGAACATTGTTATCAATTCACTCAATGTATTAATATTTGGACAAAAAATAAAAAAACCTACAAATATCATTGATATTTCGTGAGTGTTATAATTTTTTATTTGAACTTATTCTATTTACCTTTTTTTCAAAAATTCTCCTGAATGGTTACAATTGTAAAACAAGAGTGTGAAGAGAGGCGAATCACAAGTAAACCAGTCTCCTTTGGTAGCCCTTCCCTCCAGGGAAAAATAAATTAATCTAATTAAATTAACATAACATTAAAACGAGGGTGAAAAACAAACTGTTTCATATTGTTATTTTAATATGTACGACGTATTGATACTGTAAAGTGGGCACAACAATGAATATAAACAGTTTGTACTTTATATTTGATGAAATTTAACAATATTAAATTTCACCAGATGAGATCCCAAGTGGTTAGCTTGAACGATTGTGGCAACAGTTAATTTGATGGTTATTTGTTCAAATCAATTTAATTTTTTTAAATACATTTTTTTCAAGATTTTTTTTTTTATATCGACTTTTAATTTCAAGATAAATCATCTTTCCCACACAACAACCATTAATTATCGATTAATTTGATACCAATATACACGCTATTCTATTGTACAAAGTTTTGCCACATTATACTCCTATGGAGGAAGTTAAAACCAGCTGGATTTTCGATTGATAATGGACCTTGCAGAAAAATTAAATTCTCAAATATGTAGGCCGAAAGAAAAACAAAATTATTCAATTGGCCATAATTATGTATTGACCAAACAGAATGGTTGGAAACTTTTTTTAAATATTTGAGCACAAAGAAATAGCATTCAGAGGCCCATATAGCTTTTTTCCTACCCTTTTTAAAAATTTACATTTATTTATGAAAAATGGTGGAAATAACTGTCAGAAAATATGATTTTCACAAAAATATAAGATTTTTTTAGAATATTTCAAAGGACTACTTTACTTTTTCCTCCCTTTTTTAAACAAACGTATGAAAATCGAAACATTTTATGAAGCGTTTCATAAAAACCAAAAGTGATGTTATTCTAAAATATCCTGTACATTTTCCTAGCAAAAATTGTGGCTCTAGTTCTGCCAGGTAACAGACACTATAAAACTACATATAAGAAATAAAATATATTAGATTCAATTATAACGGTTTATTAATTTCAAACAAAAACATATTGTAACACTGTCTCTTAAAAGTGAACCTTCATAAGATATATTTTTCTTATTAGTCCATGCGATTGATACTTCAGAATAATTGGATGCTAAGTAAATGCAAAGTGGTTCTTGATTTAAATGCTTTCTGTACTTGACTATGTTAAGAGAAATATAAGAATGTTACAGTAAGTACAATATTAAAATATCTGTACATAATATTACCAGAAATGATGTAATGTATGCATATAAAAGATAAATCATCAACGAAAAAAGTTTATACTCTCTTTTTCTTACAGTCAATTTTTTTGTGTTAAAGTAGTAGTACATAAATTATTAAAGTAAAAATTTGATATAAGTTGATAAAAGCTTTACAATGAAATTTTTAAAGTTGAGGTATTTCTTAAAATTGTGCATATCGTCACATGTTTAAAATAATATTTCTGATTAGATTATGTGAGGCGTATGGCATTTAAGACAGCAGCTTGTTGATTATTGATATTGAAAATTTATGTGCACAGTTAAACTTTTGGACCAATTTTTTTCCATTTGCATCTTTTGATGAACTATACCTTTTATATTATTAGTCTATAAAAAGAGTTAGTAATACAAATCCTTAATAGTTAATTTGTACAAACGAAAATTCCTTGTCATCTATAACAGCCGTTTAAACCTGACATAGGATTGAAAGTGAGGTTTTGAAGATATTATATTAAAAATTTTAAACTGAAAAAAATTGGCGTAATTAAAGGGAGAAAGAAAAATAACAATTTAAATGACCTCATACATTGTGATTGGCAAACGTTAAATTATGCACAACAAAAGTATCTAAAAGGAAGTTATGCTTTTCTAGTAAAAAAATTTAAATTAAAGGAAATAATGGGGAATGTTTTCTATAAAACAACACTGTAAACTCCAGTGTGCAATTATACACATTAATTTACCATATTAATTATTTTATAATAATCTTATACTTAACAGAACAAAACTTTTAATTACCGTAGCTATAAAATATTTTTTGAATTTAAACCCCCCACCCCCCCCTGATGAAGTGACCCTATAGCAAAATAAAAACTACTTTACTAAGATATCACACTGAGATTATCAGTTTCTTTGTATTTTTTTTAAATATTTTTCTTTTTAAATTTAAAATGCACTGAGAGCCCGTATCTATAAATCTCCATATTATATATATGTTTAAAATATATAATATGTATAAATACCGCGACATGAATATCTTCTTTGTCCATTTTCTTATATACATGTAACAGTACTTTCCTACCAAGTCCCACACCGCCCATTGCACTTTGGCTTGTTTCGATATATATATACTTAATTTTGGTTTGTTCAAAATATATCCATATTGTTCTATTCTTCCTTCCACCTGGGGTCAATGTGACTGTACTTCACAAGTCCTTTGTTTCCAATTTTGAATTGGCCTATTACAAAATAATATTTTCCTTAGTTTTTCCGGCTGTAAGCTTTGTACTGTAGAGGCACTGGAGGGCTGTAGGTCGCTGTGAGGATTGTTGAGTTAGTTGCTGCTACCTGCGAGATGATGTTGTAGATGAAGGCGTTATAATACCATTGGACTGTGACGTTACTGTCGTCATAGGAGTCATTTCAAGCTCAACCAAAAGGGGAAAATGATCTAAAAAAAATTTAAGCATTATGAAAAGATTATGTATAATCAGATAAAAATTAAATATTGTGGTGCTTCATCAGACTTTTGTTTGTCTGATTACAACAAAAATATCAATTAAAAAATAAATACACAAAATAGTCACCTGAAGGAATATGGGGGTGAGGACAACCTATTACTTTGTTTTCCTTAAGCCAGTCTGTAGCTAAAGGACCTAAAAGACCCAAGGGTGTCATACTCTGTTTTGAATAAAATATATAATCTATTATCCCTTTGAAATGAAATCTGAAATTACAAAATTTCTATTGTAACATAAAATGCATATACAGTGAAATGCTCAATGTTGTTCAACATACGTATAGTTGGTATAGGGCATTATGTCTTCGGAATAGGCTGAAGCAAGCTTAAAGGAATGTGTGAATTCGTTGGGCTTGTCACAGCCGGAGATCTTCTGGAGGACGGACTTATAAGGAAGTTCTTTAAAGTCTTGGTGATCAGACAGAACTCTTCCAGAGGAAAGAAATTCTATCACACCTACAATTAACAACGAAACATATAAAAAGACAATAAAAGTGGGGAATAATGTTAGTGGAATAATTTAAATTACCAGAATCAGGTAATGAATTAAAATCACCACATAGGAGCAGTTGTACTGGAGAGGCTCCTCCGTTTGGTCTAAAATGCATGCTCGCTTCATCCAAAACTCCTTTAAGAGCATGCGACAACATCATTACCTTAAAAATAAAAATAAAATAAATAAAATTTTAATTATTATCAAATAATAATTACAACACATACCTGAATTAGTTTGACATCACAGAATTCCGGGTCCCAGTGGATATGAGCCGTACACACTAGAAGAGCTTGTTCAGTAATTGAAGCACAATCTCGAGGGCCTGCAAAATATACTATCTAATTGAATATTGAGGTGAAATATCCATCACAGTATTATTTAAAAGGACAAATTTTTTTTTAGAGTCTTCGTAAATAGGTATAATTAACCTAATATTAACAATCTGTTGTGTCTTGTCTGTTCACATTTATAACAGTATTTTTTTAAATTAAATTTTTTTAATGGCCATATGAACTTTGCATATTAGCCAAGTAACGTGGGATCATATGCGATGTGTATTCTGTTTGGGGAGAAGGGTTATTGAAAAAGGACAAAGGGCGACAGTAGTAATTGAAGCCATGACTGCGGGGTCAAGAGCCAAGAGTCTATGACGCTGACCACTCGGGCTATTGCGGTCCCCAGGATATAACTGTATTTAGCATATTCTCTAATAATTCCACAAAATCCATCAGTTTAAGGTTTTACACAGTAATCAGTCACTAACTTAGAAAAAACTGGTTTTTTTTTGTAATTAAAAAATATTTTTCTCTCTTTAGAGGTTTTTGAAAATCGCATCTGTCTAATGCGATCAAATCAAATTATAGTGGATTGACCATAATTTATATCTACACCAAGGCAAGGTCACGCTTCTTTAGAAATTTTAGGTACCACTTCATTTTTTGTTTTTTAATTATTTTCCTTTCTAAAGTGGGCCTTTTTTTCCTCAATTCATGCTAATTAATCGAGAGAGATTTCTATTTTCATATATTTCTTATAATGTTTAATATAGAAATGTCAAGTGTATGAATTGAACTTGTTAAGGGTGATTGTGGGGATTTTATTATATGGACACATTTATATTTTATTTTTTCTTAATGACATATAATGACTTCTCATAACATCAATTTTTTATTGATTATGGATACCAGGAACTAGACGAGTTCCCCCTCAGTACTGCAGCTTTCCAGCTTATTGTACTCCTTCCTGGTTCCGTTTTTGGGAGCTTGTAGCAACACGTGTGCTGGTGCGCGTTTGAAGGGCATTAAGATTGAATTCAGAAACCTGATCCCACCGGACCTTCCATTGGTGAGTACCATGCCAACTTTCATTGTGGCCCCCGCTCCCCTTATACAACATCTTACTTGCTGACACCATAACCACTCGGCTACCAAGGTCCCATTAATTAAAGCAATGCAAAGACCGGAAATAAATAAAATAGGCATAATAAAGAATGCCACAATCAATACATACGAAAAATGTAAGATGTAGGGAAACAGCAAGCCAAAAGTGAAATAATTGTTAAATTACTAAAAGAAAATTTAAAAACAACGATTTTGGTTAAGTCCACCTAATGTTAATGAAAGCTAAAACACCAACAGAAAAAATATTTTGATACAGTCTAAATCCAATAAATTTAACCAATTTTTTAAAAGGTGCTCATTTATAATCAAATCAAAATTTTAGATGATTATGCTAAGACCAGAAACTCAGGCACCAATTCAGAATTCACTATAATAGGGCTGCCCAGGGGACCTTTCTCTAATGAAACAGAAATTTAAAAAAATAACACTTATGATGATTCTTTGTTATCCTATAACGTTGTGGAATCAAACAAAAATAAATTAATTTGGGGCACTGGTGGCTGCAATGGTTTAAGTGTTGACATGGCGCTCAACACTGTAAGGTCCCGGGTTCGAATCAAGCGGCCTTGTATTCGAACCCGACACACTAAGAAATTTTTTTTTTTTTTTTTCTTTCCAAAAACCGATTTATAGGGGGGTTCATATAACCTCGTATTTCAAATACCCTCATAAAAAATCAAAATGAATTAACCAACCAACATACTTGGTGTTGTAATTTTGAATAGAAACTTTTCTGTTAGTTACATATTTCCAACATTATGTAAGGAATGTGTAAAGTAAAAACATTAAATGAATGTTTGAACTCAAGATTTCAGATGTAATGTTAATTTTTTAAAAATCTATACACAAACTACATTTAACCACAGCTAAATAATAACAATATTATTTTATTTTTATTTAACCAGAAATATCTTCCTGGTACCCATTTATACAGACAGTTTGTATCAATATTTTTGCCTTATTAGAAGATATTAACACTCTCACTACTTTAGAAAAAGCTGTTTGAACACTATTTACTGTAATAATATTAATCCATATTTTGTATTTAGTAGTCCTAATTGACTGTATTAATTATTTAAATTAATTATAATTTTTATCTAAGGTTTTGGTTGAGATGAAAAAGTTACTGTCATGAGAGGGATTCAAACCACGACCTCCACTTGAATCATGATAAATCATGTGATTCAAACAGCGGCATAATGAGAGGAAGGTGGGTTCCAATCCTGCTTTGACACTAGCTTTTTCATTTCAGTCAACACCTTAGATAAAAAGTATAATTACTTTAAATAATGATAATAATTTCATAAAGTAGGGAGAAGTTTTTAAAGGAGTAAAAAATAATCATGATTTATAAATATTGCAAATTTCGACTTAAAATTTGGTAAAGCGAGAACACAGGGCAGACATAATTACACTCACAGGGCAGACTTTTACACCCTTGTGTGACTTTGTGGGCAATTCCAAGCATGTTTATTGAATATCACAATGCATCATTATCTTAACCTAAGTTGATATATACAAATTTGATTTGCCAAAACAACATTTACAAGTGAAAATTCAACTTTTAACCTTGTTTAACATTTTCCTTTCAGTATTAAAATTGAACAAATGTAACAAAATATTCAATAATGTTTTTATATATTCATCAATGTGTATATATACATACACATATATATATTTTTTTTTTCCTGTTCATATATGTAATACAATTAATGTAAATATCCAGATGTAACAACTTAAACGTTAAAAACTATTTCCAACTTTTTAAAAGTTTAATTTGTTAAAAAACAACCATGAGTGTAAAGACACCGTACAGAATGGCGCAAGGATAAGCAACTAGGATTTTCTGTGAATCATCTCTTGAGATTGTCGTAAAACCCCTCGATGCAGCCCAACTCGCCCAGAAGACGGCACAGAGGGAAACGCAGTATCCCAAGAAATTAGTGAGATGCATGAATATTCCAAGTGTCGACAGGAAAACGACAGGCAGCATGGAGTAGCCGAGCACAGAAGCCACAGTCATAAAGCTGGGATTGTCTTCCCACATCATTTTCAAAAGAAGGTACATGAAAATACAAGATGACACAGATATACCGTAGACGTAACCGAAATTGACTTTGGCACCAGAAAGGAATGTCATGAGGCCGAAGCAGAGGCAGAATATCAATGGACCGCTCAAGTCGTAGTCTTCCTGTACGTCAACCTGACTGAATGGATCCAAGACGAGTTTCACTTTACGGAAGATCAGGTCCGGGAAGATTCCAAGCTCCTCCATCAAAGGAGGCTCGTCCTCGAAATTGTACGGGTTCTTGAAGTCGGACTGGGGCGGCTGGTATATTTGCGGCTTGTCATAGAAAAAAGACATCTTTGCCTGGTACTGCTGATTGTACTGCGGCTGGGAATAATCGTTTTGTTGGAAGGCGAGCTCTTCGGCGTTGACGATCATATCACTGTGCTGGAATTGGCTATATCCCGAAGACTGGCTCCCGTCCGCGAACTGCCCTTGTCCGTTCATCGAGAACGAGTTACCGTATTGCTGTTGCGGCTGGAACTGCTGCTGCTGCTGCGGGTATTGCTGCGGCGAAGGCCAGCTTTCTTCCTGTTCCCACATATTATTAAATTGTCCGGACATTAAACTCACTTATAATACCAAATTACCAATCACCAATACAAGAAGGTTACTCTCGACAAGTTCTAGTTCCTCTGGTTGTACACGTCACCTCTCGATGCATCGAATCAAAACTTTTGTTTTTTATATTAAATAATACGACAAATATTTATAGTTATAAACATAATATGTGTAATAAAATTAAAACAGTACAGCTTGCAATATCATTGCTTTGTTTCTAAATCGATTATTAACTTCTTGCACCATATCGATTCTTCGAATTGTGGCGGGGTAAGTATATTTTAAATCTTACAAGATGAATACAATATACATTCTTTAATTCTGTAATTTAATATATCGCACACCCACAAGAAAAGAGACACAAGTTGAAAAATTCTAAAACCCGGATTATTCAGTTTTTCTGAAATATTCGGGTGTGTGATGCTACAGGAAAAATGACACAAATGTAAGTGGACTTTTAGCTGTCATGCAGCACCATCTTCTATTACTGACTCCATTCACGAAAAGTGGCATATTTTAGTTCTGTGTCGACTGTCGAGCTTTACAGCTTTATAGGTGTGAATATTTATCAGGAAAAGTGGCACAGCACAAATCTTTTTAGTAAACTATTCTTGTGTGCCAAGGGATTGGCAATTTGGCCAATCGCAACTTGGTGCATTTATACATTCATGATTTATACTTTAGTAGTTTATTATAAATAATAAATATTTCTAAATATGATTTCCACATCACATGGACAAACTAATTCTAAATTTGTTGTCAACCAAAAAGAAGGAAACTGCCATTAGTAATAATAATGATGAACTCTGTCAGTTTTCAAATTCCGCCTCTTTGGCAACTTCTTTAGGGCAAAATGTTAAGGACATTGGTTCTTCTCGTTGTGCTTCGATTACGAGTAATGAGAAAAAAAGTTTGACCTATAATGGTGATAGTTCTGGCTCTTCAGATTTCACTAACAAATCTGGGAAACATGAAGGTCAGCTTCAAAGTTGCAAGTCACAAATGATACAGAACGTCAAAATATTATAAATACTGAATTACCACAATTATATTTTATGCAAAAGAAGAAGATTGCATGGTTAGGGCCTTAATTGGCCTTAATTGACAGCATTCCTAGATTTTTTGCTTTCTTTTCAATCTAAGGCCAAAGTAGTAATAATTTTAGAATTGTTTTAGTTTTCAATGGTATAAGTATTGATCACTTTTTCTCTCACGAACACTAGATCAAAGTATGATCTTGAAGAAAAAAGCAATTTCAGTTGTTACTGCCAAACTTTCGACCTATTTTAAGGCCATTATCAGGGCGTATATTAATTTCACATTATGAAAAACAATTGTTAAATCGATTGTACAAATATGTTTTTTGATGGTGAATTATTTTAGTTTCATTTCTTTTATTTTAATAAAATTCTTAATTATTTTTAGTATTATTTTTTCATATTTTTTTTCATTATATATTATTACTTTTACATTATTTTATACTTTCAAAGATTTTTTAAATGTTTTAATTACAATATTTTTAATAATCAATAAAACCTATATTTCAACAATAAATTTTGTATTTTAAATAACTAATTAACCCTGACTCCAGGAGGAAAGCATATTTGAGTCAAAAAATTTCTTACTAAAACTTACTACATGAATATTATGCTCGTTTGTTAGGTTTGTAAGTTTTGTAAGTTGTCTGTTACTCTCACAAAAATTAATACCCTTTCAGCTATTCGTTGACCACCAGTATCGTTAGAGTAAACAAACTAACTTAAATTACTGAGAGCCAATATATGCAAAAAAGTGTCACACCTAAAAATGGGGTATTTTTTAGGGATAGCGGGGTAGCACAGCTGGATTTGTGTTTTTGCTTAAGTCTTAGAAAAATGAAAGTCAAAATGGATCATTGCAGTTTTTATTGCCAACAATCGTAATGGTGTCTACTTAATACATTAGTAAATAAATAAACTTCCATTTCTTTCTCCTGTAAAATTTTCTTTTGTTGAATTGTGACACTTTTCTTGTGGGTGTGGAATATTTCCTTTTATTAATATGTATTCAATTTTTAAGCCTGCATGTATTAGTTTACATAACATTAAAATAAAAATGTTAAAGATTGAATCCTACAATGACTGTGCAGTGAGATGAAAGAATGACACAAAAAAGCTGTGGTTAGTGTCCAAAAGAATGATGTTGGCTTTGCTGCGAGCCGAAAAAAAGCAATAATGGATAACTGAAGAAATCCTACTACTGATGTAAGAGGAAAGCATACAAATGTGCTTGCCCTGAATGCTATGAAGAACTGTACTGCTTTCTCAAAACAGATTATCATGTAGGCCAATGATGTGTTATTTCAGGTGAATTGCACTATCTCTTTCTTGTGAACAATGGAATTTTCCTATGGTCAAACTTAGTAAAATCAAATGTTATGATTTTCAGAAAGTGTAGTAGGTTGAACTTTAAAAGAAATATGATTCTTCAAGGGACAGCAAATGGATGATGTATAGGAAGGCAAATACTCGGATGTTTCATTAACTCTGAAGTTCTCTCTTAATAACCATTTCAAACATAAGTCTCTGTGGCAAAGTTTGCCTAGAACAGACTGTGGCCAAAATTCACATTTCAGGATTTGGAGCCCTGACTGCTAAAATCACTTTCTTAATATGGTGAGCCGATCTGAGCTCTGAGTTTTCTTAGGTCAGGGTTGAATGTTAGGATATTTTTTTTTCTATCATTCAAACACATATTTTAAAACAATTTTGCAAATGGAATTGATTCTTCTTCAAGTTAAAAAAATAATTATATACAACCTGTAGGTGTGTAAAATGTTGATTCTCATCCATGTATTCAACAAATTAAATTTTCCATTCTCAAATTTTATCAACTAGCTAACAGTTAATCATAATTCATAAAAAATGCAAAGCTAGCTTAAACTAAAATGAAATTCAGGGCAATTTATTTTAACAGTTAAATAGTATAAAATAGGGAAGGTGATACTTGATCTCTAGATAATTGAAGAAATGTTAATTAAAAACAAATACTCACAGTTTTCCCAAGCAGCCTCTTTTGTTTTAAGAAGAGCAGCGAGGCCAATGTTGTCTTTTGGCATAACCCTGTTGAGCATGTCATCTGAGCCTTCAGAATTTGCCATAGCTAGCTGGTTAAATTCTACGAGGTGCTCTTGAATGAGGGTGAATCTGCAAAATAGAAAAAAATGAACATTACTGAAGGGAAAGCTGAAAAATAATAATATAAAAAATATGATAATAATAACCTATATGAAATAAAACAAAACATTGTGGTGAAGTTTGTGATGGATTGAGGTACCTTGATTGTGATCAACCTGGTCTGATTTTTTTAAGAATCATTTTGATATTTTGCCATTTTCAGGCCAACTGATGAAGATAAGAAGATAAAAAAACCCTAACTTTGATTAAAATTAGTATAACATATGGGCATGTTAGCCCATGTGGACTTTTCCATCCCAATTTAGATGTAATGGTTTTTATCCACATTCTCAGGGACACAGTATAAAAATAAGATTAAAATTATTGTTGCATGTGTCCCCTTCTCCTCTGGCTGGTATTTCTTTTACAATTTGTGTGCATATGTGTGTGTGTGTGTGTGTGTGTGTGTGTGTGTGTGTGTGTGTGTGTGTGTGTGTGNCTCCCACCCTAAATTTCTACTACTACCTAGTAGATTAATACTTCTTGCAATATTCATAGCACAGTGAGCATTTATTGAAGTTTCTTATTTACAATAGGATCAATAGTTTTTGTTATTGTTGTTTCATAAATATATTATATTTATGATTATATAAATGTAGGGAGGTTTTAAGGCAAACTTTATGTTAGAAGCAAAGAAATTAAAATTAATGAAGAAGATCAAACAATACTAACTTGGCAGTTCTGTAGAAAATAGCACAACCATCTACGTATTTCCTTTCATTTTCAGACATGGTCTTGGCTCTCGATTTTGGTGAGAAGATGCCATCGTAGCCATCCCTTTTTAATTCCGGCAAGAAGAACTTATAAAATTGGTCCGTCTCAACTTCCTGAAATGGGCAATAAAATTAACAATGGTGTTATGTCTTTATTAGTTTTAAAATGGATGCCAATGTCACCTGGAGACTTATGATATCAGCAGTGTAATGCCTTATTTCAGCAAGGATGGCCTTCTTGCGGTATTCCCAAGCTAGAGCCCAGGTTGGGCAGTAGCCATACATTTGTCTTGTTGCATACTTGTCACACAGAACATTGTAGCACATTACTGTCATTAGACCTAAGTAAAAATAAGATAACTCAATTATATTTTATTATGAAACATGTGAATGCTACGGAGAGACATGAGTTAAGAATTGAAGGAACTGCCCCAGCTGACTCTTCATATAACTTCATATAAACCCGGCGCTTAACTTAAACAGCGCGTATTTTTCCCCGTTCTTCGGACGTACGACATCCTTCTGACGAATCAATCTGACAATCTTTTCTGTTCTGTAATCTTCTCTGCATATTTTAAAGCAAATAATTTTTTTTTTTTAAATGGCCTTTGGTGTTCCAAACTTATAACTGGCGCCCGTGAATAGGTACAGCAGAAGTTCACAGATTTTAGTAGGTCCAATTGACTTATTATTTTCACTATTATTGGGTGATCAATTTCCTGCATTGGATTAGAACGTGAGCAATAGCTCTTCATCCGCTATCTGAAAGAATGAACGCTAAATTGGCTGACTTTAAAACAAAAACTTTAAAACAAACAAGTAGAGAAGGAGATCTACTCTGCACGAAGAAAGAAATACATCACAGAAAATTTCTTCCTTCTAAAGGCAGACCTATAGGCAGAGAACTCCTTCTACATCATCGAAAGAAGAAGAAGAAGAAGAAGAACCAGAGATACGTCATCAACACACTGTGAGTACTTTTGTTCTATCTCACCCGAACACATATAAACATCCCATCCTCAAATTAACAAAAATATAATGCCTACTTCTAAACCTCTCCCGCACGAAATCTTAAAATTTCTACCAAAATACAATGGAACTCCTTATAAATTACCTCATTTCATTACTACCTGTGAGGAAATGTATGGTAGCTACTGTAATGAAAATACAATTGAAAGAGAAAGTAATCACTGGCTCCTCTTCAAGGCAGCCATGTGTCATTTAGAAGGACCTGCTGAAGCCATAGCTTTTAACAATAATTGTTCAACAGTCATTGAATTAATTAAAGCATTAAAGAATAATTTTGCTGATAATCGAACCATCCCGGAACTAATAGCAGAACTAACAATCATGAGATCATACACCAGAGAACACCCTACAGAATTTTTGAACAGATTAGATGAAAAAAAGAACTACAGTAATCACACGTTATAGATTAGATGGAATATCAGGAGAACTCTTGATTAACATAACACATCAATTAAACGCATGATTAATCAGAATGCTGGTGCACGGTGTTCATCCTTCATTAGGTGGACATTTACAATTATTACAAATACAGGACTTAGATGATGCAAGAACTAAATTAATAAATGATTGCAGCATCGTTTTACAAGTCAAATACAATACAACATTAGATGCCATTAATAAAATAGATTTTAAAAAACATTTTACACCATTACCACCCTATAAAATACCACATCATGAAAACCCAATGTTCAGATGAACCAATTACAACAGACCACTCCAGCATCAACCTTTCAAACCTCAATTTCCTAGTCCAAAAAGGGATTCCCAAAACACAGTTTCAACGAGAACTGTGTCCTCAGCATTAAGAGAATTTTAAGAATTTTCAAAAAAAAATTCATATCCCCGTATGAATTAACTCATTTAGATAATCAAGGTAAATTACGTTACAATGAAATGCAATGTATGAAAGAACAAATCGATTCATTAACTAAAGTGGTCAACAATCTTACTGATCATTTTTTACAGACACGCCCCGCCCCGAACCACCGAAAGACCCCCCAGTCAGTTTGAACTAAAAACAATAAATAAATCATTACTGTATTTTGTAGATTTGAAAAACAGAAAATGGCTTGTAGATACTGGATCACTTAAAAATTATATAAACCCCTCATTTGTCCCTCCTAATGTTACAAAATTTAAAGAAAACTTTATAGAAAACTTTATAGTCAGTGTACGCTACGGTACTTATTTTAGAAGTGTTTATAGACAATAAATATTTAGGTTGAAAAAAGAACTCACAACACTTTGCTTCTTTTTACATTCCATTTTATATTAGGGTAATAATTTTCCTCTTTTGCTACAGTTTACTTACTGATCAGCAAGATGGCAGCATCATCAAAATAAAAAAAAGACAAATGCCTGAACATGCCGGCCACCTTGAAACAATTTAATAAATTGATTCAATACAAACAAATAAATTGAAACTGCCAAAAATGAGAAATATTTAACATGACTTGATAAATAAACAAGTATTAATAAAAAATAAAATAATAATAATAATAAAATAAATTCAACATGAAATAAAACTTTAAATTTCTTCTTCTTCTGGAGACTCTTCACTTCCTATTCGAGATGGCAAAGGACAAATTTTACTTAATGGTCTCTTGATGATTCCATTATGAGATTTTAGGGTAACTACCCTAATTAAGCCATCAGCTCCTGGACGCGTCTCACAGATTCTTGCTAAAGGCCATTTCAGTGGAGGTGACCTTTCATCCTTTAAAAGAACGAGCTGTCCAATTTTGAGATTACAGTTCCCTTTTAGCCTCTTCGTTCGTACTTGTAGATTGGATAAGTATTCTTGTGTCCATCTTTTCCAAAATGATTGGAACATTTGTTGCACCCTACGCCTTCTTGGAAGTGTTGACTGTTTAGCCTCTTGAAGATCCTCTTCAGCTATAGATGTAAGGGAGTCTCCTATCAAGAAGTGGTCAGGAGTGAGAGGTGCAAGGTCATTGGGACTAGGACTAAGTGCAAGAATAGGACGGGAATTTAAGACTGATTCTATTAATACAAGAAATGTCATTAGTTCCTCATAAGTAAAAATTTTGTCTCCCACTACTCTTCTAAAGTGAAATTTAAAAGATTTTACTGCTGCTTCCCACAGACCACGAAATTCTGGTGCTTGGGGAGGTATGAATTTCCAGGTAATATTTTCACTGGCTAAATAGTGAGCTACTTGTGGGTCTTGTCTTGCTCTGCAGATTGATTGATTCAACTCACGAGCTGCTCCTACAAAATTTGTACCATTATCTGACATCATTAATTTTGCTTTTCCTCACCTTGCAAAAAATCTCTTTAAAGCAGCTAGGAAGCTTTGTGTTGTTAGATCATTAACAAGCTCCACATGAACACATTTTAATGAGAGGCAGATAAAAATAGCTACATAAGCCTTTTGTAGTTTTGCATTTCTAATGGTACTCACTTTAATTGTAAATGGGCCGCAGAAATCCACACCCGTATTGAGGAAAGGTCGACCAACCTTCAGGCGTTCATATGGTAAATTGCCCATTTTTTGATGGGTACCTTTAGGTTTGGCCTTGAAACAAGTGATACATGCATTGTATGTTCTTCTTACAAGATCTCTTCCTCCCAATGGCCAAAATTTTAGTCGCAAGGAAGACAAAAGTAATTGCGTTCCTGCATGAAGATTACGAATATGTTCCCATCTTGCAATTAATAAAGTTACTTGATGGCCTTTAGGTAATAAGATAGGATGCCTCTGATTATAAGAGATGTTAGCCTTATCAATTCGTCCACCTACTCTGATGATGTTATCCTTATCCAGAAAAGGGCTCAATGTCAGCAGTTTACTCTTAGAGTTCTTCTGTTTGCACATGTCTGATGCATACCCTTTCAGCAGCAGACCATTCATCACTGGATATAAACTTTGGTATATGTTGTTTCAAATATAATTTGATAAATCTGTGCAAATAAATTATAATTCTAATTATACGAGGGTAGTTAGAATACCTGTTCCAATCAAACAATTTAACTGTCTTGGTAGTTACCAAAACAGATTGTTTTAGTTCTTCTGGTGTAGCATCAATCACATGCTGGGCTGGCCAGAATGAATCATGTAGAGAAAGCCAAGCTGGCCCTTGCCACCAAATATTGTCGTTTAAAATGTCTGCAACTAAAAGTCCACGGGAAATTTTGTCAGCAGGATTTTCTTTGCCAGATACATGACACCAAATATACCCAGGTGTTAAATCTTGGATTTCACTGACCCTGTTGGCCACGTATGTTTTCCATTTAGCTGATTGCGAAGTAACCCAGTTGAGTACAATTGTAGAATCTGACCACAGGAATTTGCGCTCAAATTTCATCTGTAAAGATTTTTGGACTTTGTTCACCAGTTTGGCTAATAGAAGGGCTCCACATAACTCTAGTCTGGGAAGACTGATTTTTTTTAAAGGAGCTACCCTTGATTTTGCAATGAGCAGTCTAGAAGAATATATGTTATCCTGGGAAACAGTTCTGATGTATATAACAGCTCCATATGCTTTCTCAGGATGCATCACAGAAACCAGGGACTTCATAAAGACCATCCCAGGTTGTCAAAACAGGTCGAGGAATGCGCAGAGTCTCCAACAACTTAAGGTCCTTTCTAAATGAAGTCCATTCCATTAATTGACTTGCAGAGAGTGCTTCATCCCATTCTGTCTTTAATGACCAAAGCGCTTGCAAAAACATTTTGAATTTTACAATGATCGGTCCCACTAAACCAAGGGGATCAAAATATAGCAGTATCGGACAGGATGCTACGCTTTGTAGGCTTTTGTTCTGGAGGAAGACAAATAGAAAATGTAAAGTAATCTTGTTCTGGATTCCACCAGATGCCAAGGGTTTTGATTGAAATGTCCTCTTCATTTGGGATAAATTTAGTTTCTGTTTTTGTTGTAGGAATTTTGTCTAATAATGCCAATTCATTTGCACACCATTATGTAAAGAAAACTGAGCGCCCTTAAGTATTTTTATAACTTCTTCCTGAATTAATTTGAGATTTTCTAAATCATTGCAACCTGTCAGGTAGTCATCCATGTAGAAATCTTGCAGGATTGATCTTACTGCAGAGGGGTATTTATCTTCCTGTTCTATAGCAGCTTGTTGCAGACATCTTGTAGCGAGAAACGAAGCTGGAGCAGTTCCATAGGTAACAGTATTTAACTGATACTCTATAAGTGGTTGATCAGTAGATTTTCTCCAAAATATTCTATGCAAATTTTTATCCTCTTCTGAAATCTTAATCTGCCGGTACATTTTGGTGATATCAGCAGTTATTACATATTTATAAGAGCGGAACCTTAATATTATTGAAACTAAGTCCTGTTGAATTACAGGGCCGGTCATTAAAGCATCATTAAGAGAAAGCCCACTTGTAGTCTTAGCAGAAGCATCAAAAACCACGCGGTATTTTGTTGTTGAGCTGTGGATGTTATGAACGCAATGATGGGGCATGTAATATGTAGGCACATCAGTTACATAAGGTTCTTTAACAACTTCCATGTGCTTTAGCTTAACATATTCTTCCGTAAAGTCAGTATATGCAGCCTTTAAATCTTTGTTTTTATCCAGTTTTTTCTCAAGTAGAAAAAAGCGTTTCATTGCCATTGCTTTTGAATATCCCAACTGGTTAACCTCATTTTTAGTTGGCAATTTCACTACAAATTGACCATCCGAATCTGTCATTGTTGTTTCCTTAAACAGTTTCTCACAAGCCTTTTCTTCTGAAGACAGATTTGGATGTAAAAACCCTTCTTCAATCTCCCAAAACTTGTGTAACTCTTCCTTGATTTCACTACAGGCTGCTACAGTTACATCTTGCATTAATTCCTCTTTAGAATGTTTGCAAACCTTGCCTCCCATAAAACAGAATTTTTCAAAAGAGAATTATTGTACCTAGGGCACATAATATTGGAAGAGGGAATCAAACCAAATATCTTTATGGTAGAAAATTTTTGATACAAACAGATCACAAACCATTACAATGGCTTCATAATATTAAAGAACCCAATTCAAAATTAATTCAATGGAAATTATTATTAGAAGAGTTTGATTTTGACACACATGTTCAAGGCAAAATTAATCAAGTAACATATGCCCTTTCTCAAATCAATTGCCGACCCTTAAATACATTAGAAGATGACATTGACCCTCAAGAAGTTATTGATGAATTCCTCAGACAATGCAATGATGATAATAATAACCTTTCATTCACAGGAAAGTTCAAGCAAATAACAATTGTTGATGACAATAAAATTCTTAACGTTGAATATAATCAAATAATTTTTGAAAGAGGTAGCAAGCATCCTAAATCAACAAAAATGTTTGGTAAAACCAGACTAATGTTTCATTTCCAAAATTCAACTGATACCGAGCAAATCAATAATTTCTGTGTCCAATACCTAAAACCTGACACAATTTATGGAGTTTTGTGTTCTAGAGAAGGTCCACTTCGTGATGACTATGAAAGAATTTTCGAGATATTTAAAAACCTAATTGTCGTCAATTTTAATTCTATAAAAATTAAAAGATATAAAAAGCTAAACCTAGACATAACCAATACAGAAGAACAAAAATAAATAATCTCAAACTACCATATCGGTAAAATGGATCATCGTGGAATAAGTGAAAGCTATAATCACATTCGAAGAAAATATTATTGGCCATCGATGTTAAGAGACGACTACATTAACAAATGTCCAATTTGTTTAAAAATAAAATATGAAAGGAAACCGGTTCAAATAGAATATAAAATTATACCTACACCAGAAAAACCATTGAAACATTAAAAATAGATACATTCTGTTATAATCAAAAGAAATTCTTAACAATAATACAGTTTAAAAAAAAAATCACATACCCCCTTGATAATTTAAACCAGATTGAAATTCAATCACACCTGAATGATTATTTTTCTTTATTTCCAACTCCACAAATAATACAGATGGATAATGGAAGGGTATTTGACAATGCCAGACTAAGAGATTTCCTAAAATTATTCGAAATATAACCGTATTATATTACACCCGTCACCAAGACTCTCAAGGCTTACTAGAAATATCACAGTCCACATTAATTGAAATTCTTAATGCTATCCTATTAGAAAATAAAAATTATAACACTAATGAAATAATGAAATTGACAGTAATAGCATTCAATAACATATTAAATTACAGCATAAAATTAACCCCTATGGAAATTACTTTTGGTATATTAAGAAATCCTTTCAAAAGTGAATTAACTGAAATAATATCACTGAGGAAAGAACTCACAATTACTTAGCAAAACTAAAATTCTTACATAAGTTAATAAAACACCAAATAGAATCGAAAAACAGAAACGCACAGAAAGTTTAAATGCTACACACGAAAAAGAGATAGAAATCCCTGACCAACCCTACCTGAAAACGACTTTTCACCAAAAAACACAAACCCAAATATTTCAAAGTACAGTATGATAAGAATAAAAAAAATAGGAACAAATGAGCAACCATCTGCTGAAAAACGGAGTTTTAAAGTTCATCCCAATCGTATTAAAAGACTGAGGAAAATATCTAAACCCAGCAATTAACAAACAGTTCTAATAAAAATGTCCCTCATTCGGTTTAATAATTTAAAAGTCAGCAACCACTTCACTCATTACCAATGAGTAAAACACTTTAGAACATAAGCTGCAAGTTTTGTTTTTATCTCAAACGCTTATGCTGCTTTTCAACAAAGTTTTCGACCTAACGACGAGTCTAAAATATTGTAAACTCATTGTTATTCATTCCAGCATTTTATCTTATAATTAGCTAACGCCATCAGCACCTCCAAAATATCTTTAATTTCAAACGAAATAGCAACATTATGGCAGCTAAGTACTGTACGTTGTTCTATGCACAATGAATACATCTCCTATTTTATTCAATTACCCCTGCAATCTCCTGTTTATGAAACATTTTTTCTTTTGCCCTATCCTGTCTATAAAAACAATAACAATTACTATACATGAGTATCCCTCCTTTGTCCTGAGATATAACGGATTACTCACAGGCAACTGCACTTTGATAAATGAAAAATATTATTGTAAAATATTATTAAAATTGAAAATAAATATATCAATGAATTATTAGATGAAGAAGAATTATCTACTTGTAAAAATTTAGTTATAAATCATGTCAAACCTTTTTTTAAATATATTCCAATAATTAATAAATTTCTTATGTATAATATAAGCAAAACTATTATTAATGTTAATCATGTAAACATAACTATATATCCAAAGTTTACGCAACAGTTAATTCTTAATTAAGTCAGAAATATTGTTAAATCTTGTACAACCATACACTTATTGGGAAAGTGAAGTGATGATTCCATCAGAACTTTCTTCTCATACTAATTTCACTTTTGAGCAATTCATGTAAGGCTAACATGAATATAGAACCCGTAGAGGAATTGGAAGAAAATACTAACAATTATACAACAATATTAATGTCAACAATAATAATAATATTGTTAATATTGCTATGTTATAAGTATTTTATCAATAAGAATTTATTTTGTAAATGTAGTAGGATTTTTTGGAAAAAATCTTCTCTAGAGGATGGCCATTCGCCCTACAGTACCAGCCTCTGAAGCATTGCCAAAAATCTCTATGCAAACTGAGGACAGCTTCAATCTTGAGGATGGAGGAGTTAAGAGTTAAAGGAACTGCCACAGCTGACTCTGCATTACAATTTCATATAAACCCGGCACTTATCTAAAACAGCGAGTATTTCTCCCCATTCATCGGATGTACGACATCCTTCTGACGAATCTCTCGCCTTTTCTGTTCTGTAATCTTCTCTGTATATTTTAAAGCAAATAAATCTTTTTAAAAAAACAGCCATTGGTGTTCCAAACTTATAACTATGGACAGATGCCGATCATATTCTACAGTCTTGTCCTTGCACTTTGGAGAGAAGAGAAGAATTCATAAAAACCCTAGAGAATAATGCCATCCCTCTACCCACAAGGTGCACAGTATCTTGCAGGGCAGGGAGAAAAAAAAACAGTAATAACAAGAAATGAATACTAAATAAAGTTAAATAAAATATATGCAAAAGAAGAAGAGACATGGTTATATAGGGTGTCCTTTTTAAATGGCTGGCTAAACTTCTCTTGAACTAATGTCGCTATCAAAGATATTTTTTAATAAAATAAATAAAATATAAAAATATTTTTTAGTCTAGTTTCAAATTTTTACCCACAAATTATTCAGGCCCAGTTCAACTTCAAAATTTCAAGTAGGGCTCTACACATCCTAACACATCATTTTAAATTATTTTTATGCTGAAAACAATGGTGCAATTGGTTTTAAATTGGTCAGAAAGTGACTAAGTCATGGCAAAAAGTTTGAAAAAATGCATTTAATTGTTTTGTTGTAAAGTCCAACAATTTGCTTCTTCAATAAAGTAAACATTAATTGCCTTTATTGTTTACATTCTTTCATTGTCAAACTCACATTATGAGAGCAAATCTTATTTCCTGGAAGTAAATAAATTTTACATTTGTTTACTATTTGTTACAATCAGTATTCTATTCACAGTGAACCAAAGAGCACATTTTTCTTATCAACAGCGAGTTGATATGTACGACTGTTTTAGTGGTCGTATTGCTTGTCATGCAGTCAAGTTGTACCCTGTATAATTTCTCTCTAAAAAGAGGTAAACATTTGAAACTAGACTAAAAAATATTAAACATGTAATTTTTGTTTTTTGATAGCATCATTGGTTCAAGAGAAATTCAGCCAGGCCATCTAAAAAGGACACCCTGCATAACTAAATAACAAAGAAAAAACAAAAAACAAACAAATTTGAAGTGCGGAAGACAGGTGCACTTTATGTCCTTCAACTAAATGTTTATGACTAATTGGTCAAACGGAAAACGAAATTAGTGAGTTTATGACTATGTTATATTGGCTTTTTTATTTTGCTGGCAGCACAATTTAATTTTACAGATTAATAAGGCTACTATTTTAAAATTATTATTAACTTCTTCATAGACAAGTTGTCAAAATATATCCTGAAAACAATCAAGTGTTGTAAAATAAAAATCTGAAAAAATACTCACATGATGGCTTTGTTGTTGATGGCCTTGCCAGCAAGATCCATGGTCTTTCAGGTGGTTGGGGTGTTCGAACTGAAAAAAAAAAAAAAACTTATTAAATAACCAGTAAAAACTGAGCATTTAGCATATCGATTTTTAAAAAATCATGAAAGACATTAAAAAAATCCTCCTCATTTCTGCCATTTCTCAAACTGAATTTATTGCAGAAGAAAGATAATTTTTATCTTTTAATAGCTTTTATTTATCAACAAGATTAGTTTTAAGATGCTAAAATTTCCGATCTGCTAAAGTATTACAATAATTTTTGTTGATTCTCTTTTTATTACTGTCTATGTTTCAATTTGTCTGTTTCTCTAGCTGTTTGCCTTACTCACTTTATCAATCTTTCTTCTCTCTAAAATAATTTGTTTGTTTCTATTCCACAGTTTTGAAATTAAAAACCAATGTTGGTCGGACAGGAATTATTATGATGGTCTGGAAGTACAGAAGATAAAAAAATGTAATTTAATTTGAAGCAATTTACAGTTCGTTTGCTTCTTCGCAAAGGGTAAAAAAAATCCAAAAATGTAAATTCATTTCATGATGTAAAAGAGTTTTAATAAATTTCCTTTCCCTTTCTTCCCTCTTGTGAGAAGTGAAATCGATAAATAAATATTTAAAAAAATGTGTGAAGAGAGACACGGTAGCTTTCAGCCCCTCGTTTTATAAAAGTAAGTTACATTTTAATAATGGGCCTAGGCAACCTAAACGGCCAGAACAAAGGACTAAATCACTTTTATTGTCCGAGTAATGCCTCCGACAAATATTTAGCGCCGGTTTCCCCCGGAGAGTAGCTCACCCCCTCGAGTGTAAAGTTGGATAAATCTCTTAATTTGTCTTACTTTACTTACTTCTCCATTCCCATCTCCTTCTTCACGTGTTTTATAGCTGAATTTATCTTGGGCAATCGCCTGGTAATGAACTTAAGTGTCTAGCTTTCGCGTCGAGACGGCCCATTGAACCCGGCCCAATGGAATAAATTGACCGATTGCTACAAATAAACGAAAAGTTTCTAACTTATGGATTTAAATGGCTGAAATTAACAACAATGCGGAATGAACGACAAATTCGTTAATAAGCATTTTATCTATTTAAAATCTATTAAAAAAATCTATTTAAATCTGATCTATTTAAAAAAAAAACCGGGATGGATAAAAAAGCGGAATCCATTTAGTTGAAAGCGATTAGTAGGTTTTCGAAAAACAATCAACCGGATAGACGCCGGGGGGATGGCTACCGAGCAAAAAACTGTACTCAACCCCTTAGGCAAAACAATTCCTAATATTGTCCAATGCCACCAGTTTATTTCTTTGACCCTTTAAACCTCATTCCTGCAATAAATAGCCTAAATCGTATCCCTAGCATAATCGCCTCATAAAAGCTAAAGCCTTTTAATGGAGCCGGAATGAATTCAATTCAGAGAATCGAGAGTCATCAACTTCACCGCCGCACCGATCGAGAATCCATCCAACCGACATTAGATAAATGAATAAATGTGTAAAGCGTTTTTTCCTGCTAAAAATACGCCAACTTACACAACAATAATAAACACAATACATGATATAACATTGCATAAGTACGTCGGTGGGCAGGATCAGCAGGGAAGCCCTCGCGTATCAAAAGAGCACTGTCGATCGGTGGCTCTCGGAGGACCTGACTCTTGGAAGAAGAGTTATCCTGATTAAGAAGAAGAAAAATAACTTTATTCTGGGACTGGTGTCCCCTAAGAATAATTAAAGATAAATGATAAAATATGATGAGATAAAATAAAGGAAGTACCTTCTATGAAGTTACAAATTAAAAAAAAAAAAGAAAAAAAAGGTAGAAATCTTTGCACAATGTATGCCAGTAAGGCAGGCCAGAAGAGAATATTAAACAAAAATAATAAATGTTATCGTGAGGTCTCTGCTTGTAGGGAGAGGAGGTGATTATAGAGATGGGATTTAAAGGAGGAAAAGGAGGCAGCGTGACGAATAGAAAGGGGAAGGGAGTTCCAGAGTTTAGGGGCTCGGATCAGAAAGGATCTTTCGAAGGTATGGGTTGTATGTTGCGGAAGGACAAGGTCGATTGGGGATGAGCGGGTCTTACGAGTGTGATGTGAGGAGTTGAATTGGAGGGATTGGATGATGTAAGGAGGAGGACGACGAGTGTGGAGGGACTGGAAAAGAAAGCAACCTAGGAAATACTGTGCACGGTAGGAGGGCAATAGCCAGGAAAGTTGGGAATACAACCCCGACACCCGGGATCCCCATGGGGTACCGTACACAAATCTTACGCAACAATTCAAAATACGCTTCAAACGCGCGTTCTCCCTTTCCGAGACACCACCGTGTGCCAAACAGCTATAATCGAAGAAAGGAAGTATAAGGGAAGATACAAGGAGTTTGCGGGTGGAGAAAGGTAAGAGAAGCCAGGACCGACGGAACAGGATGAGAGAGGCGATGGAGTGGCGGGAAATTAAGGACTGGCCTTATGAGGTTGACACATTGCTTTTGGGCCATAGCTTGCGAAAGTTTGTTCGATGAGTCTCATCTAATTGAACGGTGCAATTCCTTGGCTCCATACAGAGAGCGCGTAAATGACACCTCATCATGAAATTAGTGGTTGCGCACGGTGGCGAGTATTTGGGTCCCCTATTCCTATTCTTGGAGGAGGTTGTTTTAGTGTATGTAGTACTGATAGTTTTGTGTCCTACCGTGTGTTGAGAGTGAATGTATACTAAGTAGATCTATTATGCTCTAGTATGAGAGAATAAATGGCAGAATATTGTGTACTCCACCTGATTGAATGGTTTGTAAATAAGAACGAATATATTTAAGAGTGATTGAGAGTGTTAATGTATTTGGATTTAGGAACTAATTGGGTTGTTGCTGAAATGACCTAGATGTTGATAGCCTCTGGAGCTCAACCCCTTAACCAACGTAGTACTTTAATTTCACTGAGAAAAGTTTTGAACGTAAAAAACTATGTGCACGAACATTCAATAGAAGAAGGGGTGTGACCTCAGGATATTTCACGGTTAGAACCTACCATTGTGATTAGTTTGTTCCAAAAATGACCAGTTTATAGACTAAAGAGATACGAATAGGCAAAAAAGTCCTGATTTTTCGTTTATGGAGTTTTTCTTCAGAACGCCGGAAATTACTTTTTTTCTAGTTCTTGGTTATCCGTTCGTTTACTCTAATGTCGAAAACTCCTTTGTTTTACAATTATTTATTTGCAGATAGAAAGGTGCAAGGAAGTTTTAGTAAATTTATTTAAAAAAATAGGGAATGTGAAAACATCACTGGCACTAAATGTATGATGTAAATGATTTTATTAAATAAGTTCAATGAAACTGATTTTATACAATAATGATCTCCTGGACCATGCATAGCATTTAAAGAAAAACAATACTGATGCTGAAATTAGTGTTAGAAAGTAATAAGCATTTTGCGAAAATTAATTTGAATGAGACGCAAGTACATTAGAAGCCTAGGATAATAATTTTACTCTTGCGCACAAGTTATCCGAGCAGCTAAAATAGCTGGAAAACAAAATTAAATTGAGAAAAACACTTTTTTATTACTCCCCTCCGAGAGGGATCCAGAATGTCAGGGGTGCCGGATTCTACTTTGTCAAAAGCGGTACGTTAAATAAAAAAATGGGGCTGAAGCTGTAGTTTAATTAAAATTAATTTCTCTTTGGGTTACATTGTCGATCTGTCTGCAAATTGAGTATAAAGCGATCGTTTTGCAACATAGCCCTGGATGATTTTCCCGTTCAGAAGACAGGGACTGAGGCTTAGGGAGGGCTGTGTCACAGAGCTAATGGCTCCCTGCAGGGCTCTCGGATAATGCTAATTAACTCTACGGACCAGGGGTGAGCTGGGTGATATTAAAACATGATTACCAAGGGTAGGCCTTTACCCTGGAAACACCCTCGTCTATTTGTGACGGGCATATCCAATGAAAATGTCGTATAATTAAGCAAATTCGTCTTTTATCGTGAATTACTTTCCTCTGATTGCCGAGGAATTCTTCATTATGGACTCAATTTTCTCAACCCTTTTGAAACGGCATAAATGTCTACAATAAGCCTACTTATTCGAAAGTCTCCACTTTTAATCTTTACAAAAGTTGTTTTAAGACGAAAACATCCGGCTAGGGGATTCGTTTTATGAGACATTTTTGTAAAAATTAACCCCTACTCTACTCACGACGCCCTACCATCATTCATCATACCATAACCAATGAATGCAAAGCACGTGAAATACTTGAAAGATGATGAGAAATCGTACGACACTGAAAAATAACGACCAGGTCGGAAAAGGTAATAATCGGAAAGAGCTTCTTGTAGAAACCAACCCTACGCGTCTATTTTATTTCGCCAACCTTCTATTTGAAAATCCAGGAATACGTTAAAAAAATCAAAACTATGGGAATTGTTTGGGTTTCTCAGTCGTTCCACTTTTATAGGCAACAAAGACGAAACATAAAAGGAGGAAATGAAAGTTACTTGCAAAAGCATTTCTAAAGAAACCAGTTAATATAGCGTCCCTCGAATTTTATCTTTGAAGATATTTTTGTTCAAATGACTAAAATTGCTTGATTTGTCGGCTTGCACAAATTAAAAGAAAACTGTAACTACTCATACTCGACAATACTTATACATTATCCACCAAAATCGTAAATTTTAAGTTAAATGATACTAAATAGATACAAATATCATAGATAAATACATAATTCCAGGCCAAGGATATAACCTGAAAACTCATAACGGTCTACTTCGAAAACTATATGGCTTACTAAAAATCCACAAAGATAGTGTCCCAAGTAGACCGATTGTCAGTGTGATTGGTTCTCCTATATATAACCTATCCAAATTTTTGGACAACATTTCAAACAGTCTAAGTTAGGCGAAATAAATTTAGTATTTCTAACTATTATGAACTAAAAACGAAAATTGTTTACTTAAAAATTCCTTTAAAAAATAATAAAAAATAAAAAAACTACAAATTGGTTTCTGTAGACTACGTCTCACTTTTTATTAAT